ATCAGACCATCAATACTTGCGATATTCAAAACATTTCCCTTGGTCTTTGACAAATGCGGAATGGAATATTTTGTGAGCTCAAGTGGTGCGCGTACATTGGTGTGCCAAATAAGATCAAAATCTATCAAGTCAACATTTTCAGCATTGGCTGCGACCATTATACCGGCATTGTTTATGAGGACATCCAATTGTCCGAAATGATTAACGGTCTTATCAACAATTCGTTTTGCATCTTTTGTGATATCAGCTACAATTTTCAATGGGGTGGTTGCTCCGGCATTTACGATTTCATCATAAACGGCATTCAATCGCGACATATTACGACCAACTAATGAAAGACTTGCACCCAGCTTTGCTAAATGTTTGGCAGCATCGGCACCGATCCCGGAACTAGCACCAGTTACTATAATCACTTTATTCTCAAATTTGCGATTCTCACATTTTTCTTCAGATTTAGCACCGACATAGCCAACATTAAGCTGGGAAAAAATAAAAACAATATCGTTTTATCAAAAATAAATGCTTAATAAGTCTTTAATATAATTTTAAATTCAAAAGTTGAAAAAAAAAAATTATATAGGAACGTCCCGAAAATATATTTTTGGACCCATGAAGTAAATACATCTCTTAATCTTCATATTGGTTTTGAATGAAGCGGTTAATTGAATAAGTTTCGAATACTTACCTCGCAAATGATGAATCCAGCCAATAATAATGCAAATAATTTCAACTCCATTTTTGCTGGACTTGTTTTATTTTTCAATCTTTAAAATGATAACCAAAATTAATTCATTTGGGAGAAAAAATCAGAAATTATTTATCAATAATTTAAGCCAAAAACGGTTTTTAGGTTTAAATCAATATTTTATTCGAAAAACATTATTACTGAGCGCGCATAGTGCAAAAATATATACTTACAATTCAAAAGCGTCCACAGATGTATGAATTGAATGTGTTTTATTATGTACAAAAATGTGAAGAGCATTATGAGATTCGTGAAGAAGGAAAGCTTATTTATACAGTTTTTTGGATGGAAAATTGTACTAATCCCAAAATCTAAGTAAACAATTATTATAAAACATTCTAGGAGAAATGTCATAGAAGAATTTGAAGAACGTGATTTGAATATTTGGCTAAGATAACAAGAAGACGATTTGAAGTTTTAATCAACACGTGTTTCATATCTTTTGTAAATACAAGAGTTAAGATCAATAATCTAGGGAATAAATCTGGAAATTTCATTTTGTATATCGTTTCATAAGATGATTTAGAAAAAAGAGTCTTATCTCATAAAAATTAAATTTTTTTAAGGCTGATTACAACTCCATAAATCATTCACTCGGGAGGGTCGACTGGGAAAATATCATGGATGGTCTAGACTCACACAGAGCCGCAGAAAAGTTCTATGAAATCACAGAAGAAATCATAAATAGTTTCACTCCAAAAAGCATACCAAAATCCGAAAATTTTCCTAAATGGTTCTCAAATATATTGATTAAGCTCATTCACGAGAAAGAATACTACTATAAAAGGAAAAAAACCACAAATGACCCGACTTTCTCCTATCTTTTTAAAGCTAAGAGAAAAGAGGTTAAATCTCGTAAGAAAAAGGATCTGAAAGATTATCAGTCGAACATTGAAAACCTCATAAAATCGAATCCAAAAAGTTTCTTTGCATATACAAAATCCCTTAGAAAATCAAACACACTACCTGCAATAATGCACTATCAAAATGAATTTTCTGATAATATAAAAGACACTACAAATCTATTTGCAAATTATTTTGCAAGTGTGTATACTCAAAACAATGTACAAAATGATTTTCCATGCAATAGAGATTGTTTAAATTACTATACAATTGGTTTAGATGACATAAGAGGTGTTATTAAATCTCTAGATAAAAACAAAAGTAACAGTCCAGATGGAATTCCTGCTATATTCTATATCAACACAATGGAAAATATTATAAAACCCCTTTATCTTATTTTTAATAAATCACTTCAGTCAATGGAATATCCGGACTCATTCAAAATAAGTTTCGTTTCACCTATTCATAAAGCGGGAGATGCCGACAACGTTGAAAACTATAGGCCAGTTAGTATCATTTCGGCAATAGCAAAATTATTTGATAAATTACTTTATAAATACCTTCTAAATAATACATCGCATCTTATTTCACAAAACCAACATGGTTTCACTGTGGGCAAATCAACAACAACTAATCTTCTTGAATACGTTGATTATCTATCGAATAAAATGATGAAGGGTGGGCAGGTAGATACTATATATATGGATTTGGCCAAAGCTTTCGACAAGATTGACCACAATAAGTTACTAACCAAACTTACAAATATGCCAGTGAATCCATGTTTTATCCGTCTGATGCAATCTTACTTATCGAATAGGAAACAATTCGTTTGTGTATATGGAATCAAATCCGAATGTATTATACCACACTCGTCAGTTCCTCAGGGTTCCATTATATCACCACTACTCTTTGCCCTTTTCATAAATGACCTACCCCCTCTAATTAAGTCAAATATACTACTATTCGCGGATGATGTTAAGATATTTACCAAAATAGAAAACATTTATGATGCTAGACAATTACAATGTGATATTGATTCTATTTCTGAATGGTGCAAACAAAACAATCTTCAAATTAATACTAGTAAATGTTATATTATGTCTTTTACAAGAAGAAACGAGGCCACATTTCAGCATTTCAACTACAATATCAACGGATCAACATTGAATAGAGTGTATACCATTAGGGATTTGGGAGTGCAATTTGATACTAAGTTATCGTTTAATGGTCATTTTCAAAATATTGTTAACAGATCATGTAGAATGCTTGGGTTCATATCTAGGTCTTTAAATAAATTTAAAGATATTGAAACATATAAGATCCTTTACTATCTATACGTAAGAAGTATATTAGAATACTCGTCAACAATATGGAGTCCATATTATCAAACTCACATTGATGCAATCGAAAGAGTTCAAAAAAAGTTCACAAGAATGGTTTTCAGGAAGTTTCATTTTCCCACAGAAACATATAACATGCGACTCATAAGACTAGAATTAATGTCATT